CAGTATCTGCCTTTAATCCTGAGACCCAAGAAAAACACCAATCTTCGTCTAAAGGGTTCAGTGACAATATCCTACACCATTCCAAAGGTTGAATAAAACTGCTGATACAGTTAGTTCATTCTATCGCATATATGTTACTGTAGTGAACAGAACACGGGTAGGGACAATCGAATGTATTTTGTAGTGACCTACTTTTGTTAACAGAACGCGATTGGTTCAATGAAAACAATTATTGTTATAACCAATTGTACCAGTGACTGTTTTACTGTGCTCGTTTGTTTAACTGTGCTAATGACAGCCACTATACTTACTCTCCCGTTGACTTTGAACTTGTACGAATCCGGTTACGCTCAGTAACCACACTTGTACTCCTTTGGCACGATCTCGGTATTCTTTCGATACCACGAGATCGCCAACAAATACATCTCGACTACAGCAAACATCTGCCTTCTGATTTTTGGCCTACCGGAATCTTATTGGTCTATTGGCACGTAGTCTTGTAGCGGTGTTCATAGTCAAGCTCAACTCGACACCACGCTACAATTTAAAAACAAATTACAGAATATGTTAATAAAATCTAACAATCATAAAGCAAATGCTTAATTTGCAAAATGTCCATCAGTTGTCTCAAAATAACTCAGACTTCATTGTTCTTGCATTTTCATACAAATTGCATACTGTTTTCATTCTTTACTGATCAATCTTCTTGTCCCTATGCTGTCAGACATTCAGTTCACGACTAACACTATATACTACTTATATCTGAATAAGTAGCACACACCACATTACTACAGTTCACTTATAATATATAACACATATGTTTTTGGACACTATCATTGAATAATGATATGAAATACTACATGAGATATTAAAAAAGTCATAGAAAAGTAATAGATCAATAGTATAACACTTTTGTACGGTTACCAATAGAGAAAAAACAGCTTTCTAATAATCATGAAGTATCATTTATTGAACAAATTGAAAAAAAAAAAAAACTATGGAAAAGAGACTTAACACTTTTCTCATTGAACACTCAATAATTATGTAACAGTAACACATATCTTATTTGCTAAAATACTACTGCAAAACTTAATATCAGTGTACATTTGTAATTCATATAATCGATAAACCATACAGTGAAACTTAGAACATAAAAACCATTTGTTACATAGATTATAAACGAGTAGTTATGACTTTAAATAGTTTTATTTAATCCAAATGTATTGCACAACTAAATGATTTCAATAATAATGCATGGAATACAAAGACTGATAGGTCTTGGGATTGATTCTCTCACGGCAGGATCGTGAAGGCTCACTGCTGAGGAGTATTGTATCAGGATGAAATGGCCGTCAAATGCTTCCAGGTTTTCCATGTTGGTCTAGCTTCAATTGACTCATGAATTTATTTTTTAAATTACTAGATATTTTTCATTATATCTATCACTTCGAACGAATTTAATTCTATAGATCAAGTTAGAATTTGGTTACTAGTTTCAGTAACATAAAATGAATAGCTTCCTATTAAATGACTGTGCCCCTAAATGCCCTGATACGGCTGAGAGTGGGGATAATCCGTTCTCTCTCTCCAAATGCTCTCATATGGCCACGCATATATAACCTCTGCCAGGGAAGTCCTACTCACTGCCTTCTCGTGGCATTACTGTCGTTTACGAAAATGAGAGGACGAAAAGCGAATGTCCGGCTCTTTAACCAGGTCCAAACCAATGGTGCACATGGGCTGGCTCCAGTATCCTGAAGGAACAAATGGCGTATGAACCGATCGTTGGTCACCGGCTGGCCACCATAGAACTGCATCTCCTTACGATGCTCCACTGCCTTGTGGATCAGATCTTCAGGTCGAAGGCTCCGGGTGTGGCCCCTTAAGAAAACCACCTGTTTCAGTTTGGGCACCTGGGCAGTATCACAGCGCTCACACATATTAAATGAGATCTGTGTGGCACATGTATAATTGGTGCCTCCTTGTACGAATATTTATGTGTTAAAATAAATAAATTATAAACTGACTGTGCTGAACCATCTTATATTCACAAAGGTTTACTAATCTTTTGAGTCACTAGTAATTACATCACACATTGATCAATATGATTTGATCAGTATTGTAAGTTAAACAATATAGTAATGGTTAGCATTAAGTGATGAATCAATGAAAACTAGAAATCGGTATTCTTTTGACAAAGATAACTAGTAATGAAATAATAACAGCAAACATCCATTTAAGTGTAATGTTTTAATTGGACTGTATATTCCTTTCAGTCACTAGTTTACATTATAGATAGATAAGTCTCATACCTTGTAAGTATTATTTTGTAAAAATGTCATTTTATTTATAAAAATTGATAATCATAAGTAAATTAGTAAATTAATGACTACAGTTGGTAAAATTTACAAAAATCGATTAAAGCTAGACCATTATGGGAAACCTTAAAGCACTGGATGGTCGTTTCAACTGTTTTTGATTAAGATCATTAACCAATTGATGCTAGACCACCATTGAAAACCTGGAAGCACTGGACGGCCGTTTCGTCCTAGTATGGGACTCCTCAGCAGTGCGCATCCACGATCCCACTCTCGGGATTCGAACACAGGGCCTTCAGTCTCGCGCGCGAATGCTTAACCTACTGGACCACTGAGCCGGTATCCAACGGTGTTAATGTCTAACCTCAACCAATCCACGAAGTTGCGCGACCATCTTCCATTGTACTGAGGTAGATACCTGTCTCTACCCTACACGGATTAGCTCCAGTGGTCACGGCTTCTCGCCAGAACTCCGAGAATTCCCTCGCGAAGCTAGTCACTAGTCAGATGTGTCTATAGATGCAGTTACTCATTAAAGACAATGGTTGACGGTTGTGCAATATCATGATTCGACTGAAGTTAGACTATAACACCATTGGATACTAACTCAGTAGTCTAGAGGTCAAGTGTTCGCACACTAGACCGATAGATCCTGGATTCAAGTCCCACATGTAGGATCGAGGATGCGCACTACAGACGAGTTTCATACTAGAAAGAAACGGTCGTTTATTGTTGCCAGTTCTTTAATATTGATCTAACATTTATCCATCATTCAACATATCAATCTAAACTCAACAATTTCCACAACCCTATACTGACAATAATCATCATGTGCTCAATAGTGACTGAATTCAAGATGGATTTAGTGGAGTTGTATTGAGAATCCATGATCAATGTAGTTGAATCATGTCTGATGTGAAGTAGTTACTTATTAAAGATAATGATGAACGGTTGCTCAACCATTTATGGATCGACTGAATTTAGAGATTAACACCATTAAATGCTAAGTTCAGTGGTCTACACTTTAGCCGTTCACCCACAAGACTGAAGGTCCTGGATTCAAATCTTGTATGTAGGATCATGAATTCACATTATTGACGGGTTATACAAACACAATTTTTCACTGCTTTCAAGTTTTTTTTTATTTCAATTTAACTTTAACTAACTCATAAATTTTCTCAGATAAAGAAAAACTAAACTAACTTATACTATATATAAATATTAAATTACATTTGAACCTATTTCATTTCTATACATAATGACACTGTATACATGAAATTTCATGTGAGTTTAATTTATAATTTCATTCTCTAATTAAAAAGAATTAAACTTACCTTTATAAATTGACTGAACGAGAAATGTAAAACCAAAAATACCTAACAACAACAACAAAAAAAAACGGAAAGAAACAAACAAAAAACAAAAAAAAGCACCACCCCCCTCCCCCCTCCCCTCCCCCCTCCCCCCATTTTATATAAAATATTCACATTCACTTAATCGATTTATAAAAACAATAAATAAAACGTTTAGAAAAGATAACAGAAACAGACAAACAACCAAAAAAACAGAAAAACAACACAACACCCCCCCTCCAACCTCAACCTCCCCTCCCCACCATCGTATATAAAATATTCTCATTCACTGAATCGGTCTATAAAAAAACAATAAATGAAACTGTAGAAAAGATAAAAGAAACAAACAGACAAAAAGAAAAAAACAACACAAACACCCCCCTCCAACCTCAACCTCTCCTCCCCTCCCCCGTATTTTATATAAAATATTCACATTCACTGAATCGATTTATAAAAAAAAATAAATAAAACTTTAGAAAAGATACATATTTTTTTGTATTGTGAAAAATTCTTAATTTTTTTTGGATTTTTTTCTTGAAAAAAAATTTTTTTTCTAATTTTTCTTGTTGTTGTTGCTGTTGTTGCTGTTGTTGTTGTTGTTTCAATTACAATCATAAATAAAAATTAAAAAAAATAATAAAAATAAAAAAAAATAAAAAATGATTAAACCAATGAAACCGTTGGATACAACAGTTTAGTCTGATATAAATAAATCATACATTTTTCAATATTTATTTATTTATAATAGTGATTTTGATTCATGTAAGTGAAATGAATGATGGATTGTTTTAATGGATTTCATTGTTTATCATTTGTGTGGAATATGTGTTTTTGAGTTGGATAATTTGGCTGTGGAGCTTTCATTGTTCTTCTGAACATCATCATCATCATCATCATCATCAGCAGCAGCAGCAGCAGCAGCATCAGCAGTAGCAGCAGTATCAACTTTAAGTAGAAGTGAAATGTTGGAATTTCTCCATATATATATATGACTTACAGCTTGTCCTGTAAACCCCGAATCGGATTGACTATTGTTAACTTTAAACTTATCATTGTTTACCACTTTTATTTTGATTGTATCTCCTAATGGTTTGATTTTTTTAGTTAAGTGTTCGCATGCGTGACTCATAGGTCTTGAGTTCGAATCCTGTAGGGCAGGATCATGGATACGCAGTGTTGTGGAGTCCCATAATAGGATGAAATGGTTGTCTACTGCTTCTAGGTTTTCTATGGTGGTCCAGTTTTAATTAACCAATGAAATAGTTAGAAACAACAGTTTAGTCTGATATAAATAAAGTATACATTTCTCAATATTTATTTATTTATAATAGTGATTTTGATTCATGTAAGTGAAATGAATGGTGGATTGTTTTAATGAATGTGGGTTTTGATGAAGTTTTGTTCTTTGAACTGGATGGTTTAGTCATTATACTGAACGATATCAACAGCATAAACTTCAAGTAGAAGTGAATTGTTCGAAATTCTTTGTCTACATATGGATCACAGATTGTTCTGTAGATCTCGATATTGATGGGTTTTTGTTAATCTTTAACTTGTCATTGTTTATTTTTTTTGGTTGTATCTTCCATTGATTCAAATTTTTGGTCAAGTATTAGTTCACGAGATCGATAAGTCTTGAGTTCGAATCTTGTAGGGGGGATCATGGATGAGTATTGTTAAAGAGTCTCATACTAGGATGAAACGGTCATCTAGTGCTTCCAGGTTTTCCATAATGGTCTAGCATTAATTGACTCATGATATCAACTATTAAAATTAATATAATAAACACAAAAACCCGTGTCTGATTGTAATCATCATATGCTCATTAGTGACTGTCTCCAAGAGGTATTTCCTGGAGTTCTAATGAGAACCAGTGACTAGTGCATCTCAGTTGGGTCTGTTGTGAGATAGTAGCTTATTGAAGACAATGGTGGATGTGTCTCTCAATTTCTTAGATTAGTTAAAGTTAGACATTAACACCGTTGGATGCCGGCCGGCCCAATGGTGTAGAGGTTAAGCAACCGCATGAGAAACCAATGGATCCCGAGATCAAAGCCCGCGAGCGGGATCGTGGGTGTGTAATGCTAAGGAGTTCCACACGATGATGAAACGACCGTCCAGTGCTTCCAGGTCTTCAATGATGGTCCAACTTCAATTGACTCATGAATGCAACTATTAAACCAGTAAAATCTCCGCAAAACCCCTTTCAAACTTTTTTTATATGAAAAAAAGAACTTTCTTAAATGAAATCTTCTCTAATTCTCATAATTATAAAATGTACTTTTGTGAGAAACTTAAATGAAATAAGTAGTAGTAGTAGTAGTATAAATTCACTTGGTGTTGTTTACTTGTATCTTCACATGGCTATTTAGGATTGCAATTGATCAGTCTCATGTTAGCATATGTGCATCCCATCCGGACTGCCTCAATATAGCCATAGGTCACAAGCAGTGGAATCCAGTTTGGTGCATGTTTCGTCCTATTTAGAACTCGTCAGCTGGATGTACCTGTATTCACTGTTAGCCAATATCCATCTTTCCTTATACTACTAGTATAATTCATAACAAATACTTTTAAGCTGTTTGGATGAATATATTGGAATGTGTATTACATGTTGTTGACTAGAGTTTTCCAATTCCCTGGATGGTATATATTCTAAGTTATATTTGGTTCATTTGATGAAAGGAGTTTTTATGGATGAATTTGTAATTTTATAGTACATTCATCTAAATAGATATGATATTTGAAGGACTTCATTCTGCGAGGAATTTCAAGCAGCAAATACAAACTATGTAAAACTAGTCGATTAACACTCTACTTTCTATAGAAGTTACATAACCTTCCATTATTACTATTTGCTTTATATGTCATGGTAAGACATGAACAGTACTTCACAGTATTCAGATACTCCTAGTTTTCAATGGTATATATAGTTTTGATCAGAATAGGATTTGTGAAGACTGTAATAAGTTTAATAGCTGAATTCATGACTCAATTAAGGTTTGATCACTATTGAAAATTTGATAAGTAGTGATCGGCCGTTTCGTACTTGTCAACATTATTCATTCATGATCACAGACACGCGGAATTCGAACTCAGGACTTTTGGTCTCGTGCACGAACGCTTAACCTCTAGACTACTGATCTGGCGTCGAATGGTGTTAATGTCTAACTTCAATCGATTTATGAATGATTGTTCAATCATTCATTTATTGTCTGAGATAGATATCTGTCTGTAACATCCATTGCTTTCAGGTTTTCAACGATGATCTAGCTTACATGGATTCTTGAATCCAACCGTTAAAAAATAATTTTCTCACTGTTTTATAATGTGTTGAAGCATAATTTACTTTGGTAAACATACAAAGATTGAAATGAAAAGTGGAATTAAGAAGAGGGTAAATCGTAGGCATTTTACCGTAATGAATTTCATCTATTACAGCTTACTTACTTGCTTACTTACGCCTGTTACTCCTAATGGAACATAGGCCGCCAACCAGCATTCTCCAACCCACTCTGTTTTGGGCCTTCCTTTGTAGTTCCATCCAATTCTTGTTCATTTTTCTTATGTCTATCCCCGTTTCCCGGCGTAATGTCTTCTTTGGTCTTCCTCTCCTCCTTCGGCCTTGAGGATTCCATGTGAGGACTTGTCTTGTGACACAGTTGGATGCTTTCCTCAATGTGTATCCTATCCATTTCCAGCGTTTCTTTCTGATTTCTTCCTCCGCTGGGATTTGGTTTGTTTTCTCCCACACTAGAAAACTAACTCGCTAAAAAAACGCTAACCAGAAGAGTCTATTTCAGCACAACTTAATTATTTTTATGTTTTTATTTCTGAATTTGTTGATTATTACAAAACAAGAAATTGATTTTAGTGGCCCTTTATTTTGACGCCTATTAGACCACACGATGTTATCGACGGGCTCACCACTTTAGTGACCTGGGATCTGACTCCAGTGAGATCGTTTCTGATTGTTATTGAGATATACATATCGTCATTCTTTGTATATAATTATCGACTTGTATCGTGTCGGCGAACAACGGAATTAAATAAGTCGAATACGAGAATGAATGTTTTGAATACATATATTATGTACACTCACTGAGCTGGACAGGAAATGAGAGGGATGAAACGAATAGAAGAGAACGAGGCGAAAGAATACAAGGTGGAGAACACGTATGAACCATCCCTCATTTAGCCAGATAGAAATAAAGTTGCAGATATGTGATGAATAGGATAAGAAGTGCACACACATACGCTCATAAGTAATGGTTAAGTTGGCCTGTCCAGAAGCTAGAAACACCAGTGTTAGTATAAGCCTGTAGCTCTTCTCGAGTTACTGACGGTCCCATACCCGGGGTAAACAAGGTGGGTTGGGCATGAGGTCGGCAATCTCATTCCATAGAAAAAAATCTTGCTAAAAAAAACATCAACCAGATTAAACAAATTAAACCATTTAAACTCTGCCCTGGGAGTTGAAGGAAGAATTATGACACCTCAGAATGAAAGCCAAGATTTTTCGGAAGTCACAAGGTTGATGCCCTTTCTAACAACCAAACCAAAATCTTTTATAGGTATATGGAACCTTCGAACAATGTGGGTAGTAAGTATAAGCCAATGAATGAGAAACTTTGTTGAATTTAAGCTCCATATTAGTTCTGAATAGGTAAACGATATGAAAAGTATGATAAAATAAGTATAGACAGTGGATAGATAACATATGACGGTGTAATTTGTAGGTTAATGAGGTACCACAGACTCATCTTCATTCTCTGAGATTTTCACAGATACAACCTTCTTCCTCTTTTACTTTTACTTTGTTGAAAGTCATTAATTCAACAGATATTTATGATAATATAGTACTTAGAGAATAAGTTATTTCAAACCATTACTTACTTACTTACTTACTTACTTACTTTCTTACTTACTTACCTACTTACTTACTTACTTACTTACTTACTTACTTACTTACTTACTTACTTACCTACTTACTTACTTACTTACTTACTTACTTACTTACTTACTTACTTACTTACTTACTTACTTACTTACTTACTTACTTACTTACTTACTTACTTACTTACTTACTTACTTACTTACTTACTTACTTACTTACTTACTTACTTACTTACTTACTTACTTACTTACTTACTTACTTACTTACTTACTTACTTACTTACTTACTTACTTACTTACTTACTTACTTACTTACTTACTTACTTACTTACTTACTTACTTACATACGCCTGTTACTCCAAATGGAGCATAGGCCGTCGACCAGTCTTCAGCAATTTAGATAACTTTCCAGGTCTCTCACATTGTACAAACATTCCATGTACCTAAGTTAATGATTGCTTTGGTTGCCAGAAGAGGCATCAGCCTCATGACTTCCTAATGAACTTGGCTTTTACCATGAGGCATCATAACTCTTCTAAATGAAAATTTTCTAACTCCAAGGGCAGAGTTTAAATGGTTTAAATTATTTTCTCTGGTCAGCGTTTTTTTAACGAGTTAGTTTTCTATGGGATACGGTCACCGACACCATGCCCAAACCTCCTTCTCTATCCGCGTTTGGGCTCGGAAGTAGCTCCAGAGAAGCTCCAGGTGGAGCTATTTCAAACGATGTTCCATGGTTATTTATTGGTTGATTGAGATTATTTAAGTAAGTATTAGAAATAATGAATTATTTCGCTATGCAATGAACCTATGAATAATTTCATACACGAAAGTCTATCCCAAGTAATATTTCATTTTCACCTTCAAATGCCCTGGTACAACCGAGGGTAGGGAGAGTCAGCTCTCTATCTCGAAATGATCTAACATGGCCACAGGCATACAACCATTGTCACGGAAGTCCTAATCACTACCTTCTCAATGTACTGCTGCTGTTTACAAAATTGATAAGACAAAGAGCGAAGATCCAGCGCTTTAAATGAGTTGATGGATAGGGAGGGTCTACCTGCGGGAGTCTGAAAACCCTGATTCCAAACAAATGGTGCACATGGGCTCCAAATGGCCTACGAACCTATTCTTCGTCATCGATTACTATGGGATTTCATTGCCTGATGTTGATATCTACACACTATGTATTATTCTTTCTTTTAGATCTGAAAGATAAGAGGATGAATTATCTAGACTATCTATTCATTTTACTGTTTATAATTAATTTCTCATCATTATCAATTGAAAATCCAATCTTAACAGAAATTACAACACCAGAATTGAGTCATATGTAAGTTTGTGATAGATGTTATCAATTCTGATTAAATAGAAACGTTCCTGTTATATAATAGACTAGTTATTAGTAGAAAGTACATTATTATAATACATCTACTTAATAACAATCAACAATATCTTATGAATATTCTATCAGTGACCGGTCGGTCGAGACCTGGATAGCTCTGACTGTGAAGCTGGGTGACACGGAATCGAATCCATCAGGGAACACCAGTTTCCTCAAAGATTACAGGTACACCTTGCTGACGAGTGCCAAGTAGCATGAAACCCGGGTCCAGGGTTTCCTGTTGACTACCTCCAACCACCATCCAATCTTACAATAGTGCCCACGGTGTCGAGTCACCTAGACTGGTGGCCACATTGCAACATGATTGATAGCATTCAATCTGCACTAATAATAAGGACTAGACACGCATGACATTGGTCACCCAGTGATCAATCAATTGTGGCCGTTTCATCCTATTGTAAGATTCCTCAGCAGTCTGTATCTATCGCAAGATTTAAACCCAGGACCTATCTGTCTCGTATGCGAACGCTTAACTTTTAGACAACTGAATGGGCATCCAACGGTGTTAATGTCTAACTTTAACCAATCCATCAAATTGTGCCACACGTTTACCATTGTCATCATACTAGGACGAAACGGCAGCCTAGTGCTTCCAGGTTTTCTATGATGATTTAGCTTTAACTGACTCATGATCTCAACTATTTAAACTATTATAATATCCACAAAACCCCTATTTGATTATTGATGACCGTTGATCATTGATATTGTATTGAATGTAAACATAAGAATGGGGTCAACCAATCAAGATTATGTTTAATACTTCATTTACAAAATATCCATCAACTGTCTCAGGCTTTTCTATTCTTGTATTCACATAATAACTATTCTCTGTTCTCATTCTCCTCTATTCGATCTTAACCTTTTACTACCAAACCATTTCAATTTTGATTGATGTTACATACTACTTATATCGACAGATATAAGTAGTACCCATCACAATATGACATTAATTCGATCCACTTTATAGATATACAATGATAATGATTACTAAAATAAGTACGATTTGGTTATGTAATTTGTGGTAGTTACTTTATTTCAGTCATAATGTTAGTTGTTAATTGATGTCCACTAGTAAACTACTGAAGATCAAGACCCATATATAATAGTCATCTCTACATGTTTCCATAGTGCTTAGAAGTGTCTGGATGAGGATAAATGAATGGTAACCTTTAGGAATTACTTATAGACTGATGTTATACGTACATTCTTATTGTATGACTATTAAGTAACTATATTATACGTGTATATTCATATTCCTTTCATTATAAGCTTTTATTAGACCCATTGACTACTATTATACAATTTACTATTCTTAAGTTATCCCCAGTTTATTAGCTATGGTCTCTGACAATCACAGTCACTTTATGGCTTGATCTTATACAAATGTTATTTTTTAGTTCATGATGTGACATGGTCCGTTTGGCTTGTATATAAGCCCAGTATGCTTGAAATACATGATTCATATTGCATAGGCTGAGTTTGGTGTTCTGGACTCCGATAGGCAGTGCTAGGCGGGAAGCAGGATCGCTAAGGACTCTAGACTACTTGTACAGGTTTTATGTATCATTGGTCCGGTCGATAAGTTAGCGGATCTAAATTGGCAATCGTATATTTCACAATAATCGTATAAGCTAAGGGCATAACAATTGGTAACGAGAATTTTGGAAAACAAAAATGAAAGAAATAACAAACTTCAACCATAACCTTAAACATATTCACTTGGTATTGTTCACTTGAATCTTCCCATCAATGTTTAGGACTGTAATTGATCAATCTCTTATTGCAATATGTGCATCCTGTGTGGACTGCTTCGATATTGTCTTAAGTCATAATCTTTTAAAGCAAAGATGGATAGTGGCTAACAGTGGAATCTAGGACATGCGTTTCCAACGCTACTGGGTTCGAGTCCCAGAATGAACATCAACAAGTCTAAAATGCACATCTATGAATGTTTCTCTTAATTATGTTATTCAATCATGAAATAATATGGACCTATTAGATTAAACTTTCATTGGTATTGTACGTGACTCCTAATGTATCTCATATTCTGCCTGATTTTTTGATTTAACTTAGAGAAACGGAGTCAAGTGTAGTTCCAGTTAATCGTCTTGTAGAAAATTCCACTGAATTCTACAAGTAAGTTTTAAAATACTTTGTTAGTTTAGTAAAGATTTATAATAAACTGTAATACTTACTATTATGACACTAGAGTTTTGTTCTCTGAGCTGGTTGGTGTTATAACCCGTGGATTTGTGCCTCTATCGATGAACAACGTAATGATACCGCTAATTAGAGAACAGTGATTTATCGACCGGACCAGTGACACATAAACCCGTAAGAACAGTCTAGAGTCTTTATCGGTCCTGCTTCTCACCTTACCCGGCCTGTTAAATCCAGAATATAAGTCTCAGCCTCTGCGATACGAATCATGTATTTCAAACATGCTGGGTTTATATATGTAAATCAAACAGATCACATCGCACTATAAAATAGGAAACAAGATTTGTATAAGATTTAGTCAAATGTGACTGTGAATGTGTGAGATAGTAATTGATAGATTTAGCATAACTCAAGAATAATAAATTGCAGAGGCTGAGATTGATGTTCTAGACTTAACAGGCAGGTGTAGACAGGAAGACGGACTGATGAGATTCAATCCTACTCGTACAAGTTTATGTGTCATTGGTTCGGTTGATAAATTACTGTTCTCTAATTGGAGGTATCATTACGTCATATATTAATAAGGGCACAAGGCCATAGGTTATAACAGTTTGTACACCCAGACAGTATTCGAGCCCTTACACAAATCGAATGATTTATGTAACGCATATTTGTTTGGTGCCCCCTTGCGTCAATGTTTATCTGTTTAAATAAGTAAATACAATTAGCAACTGAAAAATTCTTTCTTTTGTCGACTCAAAGTGGATATAACATTAATAGGTAAATAGTGAGACTATATGCAAGCACTGACCGGGTTCAATGTTGCTTAACTGCGGTGATCCGATGAGAACCGGTGCTTTCAATGTGGTATGGTATAGCTATAAGCTATATGGCTATGTAGAGCTGAAGTTCTCACATGACACTGGAGGTTTGCCATTGATATTGTGGATGGTTTAGCAATGCTTTGGCAAGTTTTAATGACTGTTCATGCACAAAGTTGGTTTGCTGGTTAACCGATTTCATTCATACTAGTGGTCGCTTTTCAGTGTTCTCAACGGCTATTGTCATTGGGACATTGTAAGTCATGTCGTCATTGCTAACATTAATGAGTCTGACTGTCGTGTAAGCAGAATCGATCAACTTTGGCCTGTTCGTGCTGTGCATAATTGATTCACCCGATCATTGATCAGAATAACTATACATGTGATGCGAATGTGTATATGAATGTTGCGAATAGTCCACCAGGATGCTTGGTACCTATGTGGTTGCTCCACTGGATTGAGCTGTACTATTCAGATTATAGCATTAAAGCCTATACGATGTCTGACTCTCCTGTTAAACGGGGTTGTGTTGTACTGTTTGGATTTTCACGTGAAAGTCTGGATGGTGACTGGTTCTCCTGAAAACCAATGTAAAATTACCCTGGCCCACAAGTGCATATTATATAACCGTGAACTGAGACTATAATTTATGGACGACCTTTCAGTGACTCTAAAGTGACCTTCAAAGTGTCTACGTAATAACTAAAACCAAATGAGAGTTATAAACCAGTGTCAGGAATTCAAATCATGATTTACTGTTGATGGTTGGGGTTAGGATATAGATTTAAGGTTTTCATCAGTGATAATGCCAAAAAATCAATTTATCTAAATGGATGAATGAATTTCGCGCCAAAATTCATGACCTATTATCTTATACCTGATTGGTTCACTCATAAATTGTAGTCTCTCCACTTAATCACTAAGATAGTCTCTTTTGATTTTCTTTAATTTAAAATCAATCACTTAGTGATTCACTAAATAATAAACTTGTTTATTACATAGAGATAGTCCCTCCCTCCCCTTATCTACAGTAAGAACGGAAAACAGACCATGGAAAATTCGTAAACTTCCTGAAACAACCATACTTATTCAGGTTTCTTTATTTTTCTTACAAATTATTCCTGATCGATAGTGGCTATCAGTGGAACCCAGTTTGATGTGTGTTTCGTCCTATTTTCAGACTCGTCAACTGGATATACCTGAATCTCAGAGTTGATGTTCACTCTGGGACTCGAACACAGTATCATTCGTTTCAAACATCATCGCGTTATTCTCTTAGCTATTGAGTTCTGATAGCTACCTGCTTATGACTTCAGACAATATCGAGGCAGTCTGTACAGAATGTCAACATGAAACTGATCAATTGTAGTCCTAAATAACAATGGAAAGATATAAGTAAACAATACCAACTGGATAAAAGTATTCTTGATTTATACAAACTATCAGACTATCTTTCAATCTTGAAGGTTGTCCATGAACTGCAATTATATTCAGTTTACACTTAAAGACAATGGACATTAGATTTACATAATCACTTACATACATTATATACATTGTTTTATTTGTAGTGTTGAAGATTTAGGTTCAACGGGAGGAGAAGAATGGAATTCCAATATTACAGGAACCTCATCTTCATTTGGTAGTGTGTAAGTTTAATATTATTAGTTGAATGTTTAATGCATGAAAGGTATGTGAAATACAACTTAATAAGTTCAGTTAACATCAATAAAGAGATACTACCCGCTAACTCAGGCAGGGTTTGAAAAGTCGGAAAAATGAATATTCCGCAAATGCGATAAAAATGATCATGGTGATCCAGTTATAATATTCTAAAACCAGACAATAAGTTTTGGGCGTTATTTAAGCCTTAACGCTTCAGGCTGGGCTATTTCACTTACTACCCTACATATGTGTTGTATGCAGTATAAGGTATATGGCTATGTAGAGCTGAAGTTCTCACATGAGACTGGAGATTCGCCATTGATATTGTGGATCGTTCGGCACTACATTGGCGAGTTTTGCTGACTGTTCATGCACAAAATTAGTTTGCTGGTTAATCGATTTCATTCATACTAGTGGTCGCTTTTCAGTGTTCTCAACGGCCATTGTCATTGTAAGGCATGTCGTCATTGCCAACATTAATGAGTCTGATTATCAAGTAAGCGGAATAGAACAACTTTGGCCTGTTCGTGCTGTGCATAAATGATTCACCCGATCATTGATCAGAATAACTATACATGTGATGCGAATGTGTATATGAATGTTGCGAATTGTCCACCAGGATGCTTGGTACCTATGTGGTTGCGTCACAGGATTTAGCTGTACTATTCAGATTGTAGCATTAAAACCTATACGATGTCTGACTCTCCTGTTAAACGGGGTTGTGTTGTACTGTTTGGATTTTCACGTGAAAGTCTGCACAGTGTCTGGTTCTCGTGAAAACCGATGTAAAATTACTCTGGCCCACAAGGGTATATTATATATAACTGTGAATATCAATAACCTCCATATGGTAATGTTTACTTACTAATATGAAATTTTTAGGTTGGATACATCACAGAATAGTCAAATTCAGGATATTATTGAAAACTAAGGAGTAATGGATAACTCTTTAAGAATGCACTTACATGACCCTCAGCAAGTGATCAAACCAAGAGAGTTAAGTTTACATAATAAAGATTTACTCATCAATCTGTGAAGAATACACTGGACTAATTAGACGAATTTGTACAAAAACTTTACAACCAATCTACAACTGCTTATTCTATATGATTACATAATGAAATTTTACATAAGTTCAGAATCATTTAAATGAGAATATTGACAAATAGTTAATGAAGTAATTAAGAAGATGAACAGGTTGATTATACTATTCACTAGTGCTTAGTAATGAATGATAGTGAATCGAAACATGTTACTGTCGGATTAATAGATTATATAATGTCCTCCTGAGGCTCCTCTGGGGCTACTTTCGGCCCCAAACGCGGATAGAGAAGGAGGTTTGGGCATGGTGTCGGTGACCGTATCCCATAGAAAACTAACTCGTTAAAAGAAAAATGCTAACCAGACAAAAATAATTTAAACCATTTAAACTCTTCCCTTGGAGTTAGAAGATCTTCATTTAGAAGAGTTATGATGCCTCATGGTAAAAGTCGAGTTCATTCAGAAGTCACATGACTGGTGCCTCTTCTGTCAACCAGAGTAATCATTAACTTAGGTACATGGAATGTTTGTACCGGGAGAGTTATCCAAGTTACTGCAGAAATGATCAATAATTGGATAGAACTAGTAACAAAGGTTCAGGACAAAGTGGATTGAAGAATGTTGGTCAGCGGTCTATGCCCCATTATGAGTAACAAGCGTTAGTACATAAGTAAGAGAATTCATCAAATTTCGATAAGAAGTCTGATCCGTACATGGTAGTTGCATAAGGATGAAGCTGTGAATGTCATAATTGAATAAGAACAAAAGAAATTAGAAGAATTAAAAGAGGGGAAACGGACTATGTTATTGAACAAAGTAAAAGTAGGGATTGTACGAATTTCTTGTGTATGTACAGACATGGTTTACTTGATTTCAAAGTACCTTTTGTCACTAAATTGACATTATTATAACCAACATCGGAACTCAGCGTTCGCAAAGTCAAATTTACATTGATTAAGTAATTACGGATTCTTTTTTTTGTCTATCTAGTCTTTTTGTGCTATTTGAATTCAACTGACTTGACATCGTATGGATTATATTTCAGTGTCTGGTAGTAAGAAAGTAGTCGAAAACCACTCAGTGACCAGACATTGTTAATACTTCAATCCTGTAGGACGTCAGTAATTGTTTGAGTCACTCATTTAAAACGTCTCATATTGTGAAGCTGTGATTCAGGTTTCAATCTACTCGGAAACATCGATTTACTCAAGATCATGGGCGTACCTTAATGCTGAGCTCATGTCGTTACGAGAAATATGTCTGACAAAGTTTCTTGTCCACTACTTTCAACCATCTATAATGAAAGTAAGGATATCATTGAGCGTTTACATTAAAACTGTTGGGATGATCCAGAAAATTTCTTGCAAAAGACACACAAGGATCAGGAAACCTTGAGAAGCATTTCATCCAATCAGCGTTCACTTGGAGTTTAGCCAGAAACATCAAGGATGTGAAACGTCACATGTAGAGGTTCTGATTGGCTAGTTGTTGTACTGCTACTATGTTTAGTAGCATTCCAGAATCTTCGAGCAACCCAAAGCCATTTAGAATATTATAAAAACTCTTTGTTTTCTGTATTAAAAGGAACCTTGGAGTAAAGTACTTTTCGCATACTTTACGCCTTCTCTCTCGTGTTCAGATCGCTGTATAGTTCTAGCTTGTGGGGTTACAAGAATAGCTTAGGAACCGAGGATAGCGTTCAAATTCACAAGACTTATCAGAAACTGTATAGCTCAAATCAGATCACCCCCCTCAATAATACTATTATATCATCGATAGGTTCCATCTTCACTTTCACAATTTCTACTCACATTCAATAAGCATCCAATATGTACGATATTTAAACAATCAAACTCATTTACTCTAAAGCTGTATTTCTTATTAGGTTATATATAATAGATACACGCAAATCTTCATAACGATAAGGTTAGATTTAATGAATTATACCATGTTTTTATGATAATTCATTGTTAAAACATCTCATTTTCAAGATCTGATGGAACTGTTCCTATTTATCAAGAAGAATTGAATTTCACTACATCTGAGAAGTATGTTTCCATCACTTCTGAGTAAGTTCAATATCTTTCAGATTAACATCATGAACCAATTGATGTTAGACCACCGTTGGATGCCGGCCAACTCAATGGTTTAGAGGTTAAACGTTCATGCGCAAAACCGAAAGCCCGGGGTACGAATCCCGTAAGGTGGAATCGTGGATGTGTACGGTTGAAGAGTCCCACAATAGGACGAAACAGCCATTCAATCAATGCTTTCAGGTTTTCAATGGTGATCTAACATCAGTCAATTCATGATCTCAATCAAAAACTTCATAATCTCCATAATCCTATACTGATTAATATCTGTTGTCAAATATTTTATATAATGTAGAAACTTTTCTTAACCTTCTGCTTCCAAACATTTGACTTTTGATTGATAATCATATATACTACTTATATGTGTCGATATAAGTAGCACATATCATAATACATATTTACTTTCTGATCTTCATGATCTTTCGATTTTTATGAGTATTCAACATTAAACTACTTCATTTTAAGATCTGAATTTGCTTCTATACTTCATTAAGATTGGAATTGTACAATATCGTCTAACACTCCTATTTCAACTATTTGGGGGGGGGGTAAACTTATCAAGTATATACTTAATTGACTACGTACATCAACTTGAAGTTCTCATTGGTAGATTAATGCTGAATTCTAGCTAATCAAACATACCTACACACATACATATTTATTTATTTGAGCACATTATTATTGGTATAAAGGGGACATCACAAAAGTCACTTAATTTGTGTGTGGGCTGTGATACTGTCCCGGTGTCTAAACTGAAGCAGATGCTTTTCATAAGAAGGCCACACCTAGAGCGTTTGACTTAAAGGTCTAATTCACATGGCAGTGGAGCAACGTAAGGAGATTCAGTCTTATGGTAGCCAGTGAACAACGATTTGTTCATACGCTATTTGTTTCTTCAGCAGCCTCTGCCAAGAAAGTCCTATTAACTGTCTTCTTGCGGCCTTACTGTTGTTCACAAAATTGAAAAGACGAAGAGCGAAGATCCGGCGCTTTAACTGGGTTGGTGGATGCGGAGGGTCCACCCTTGAGAGTTGGAAATCCCTGATTCCAAAAAAATGGTGCACATGGGCTTCAGTATCCTGAAGGAACAAACGGCATATGAACCAATTATTGGTCACCAGCTACTATGGGTCTGCACCTCTTAACGTTGCTTCACTGACTTGTTGATTAGTCCTTTGTGTCAAATACTCCGGTTATGGCCTCCTAAGAATACTACTTGCTTCCGTCTGGGCACTGGTGTAGTATCCCAGCCCTCACACATAAATCAAGCGACTTGTGTGGCACATATCTATTTGGTACCCGTTTGTACCATTATTTATGCGTTGAAACAAATAATAAATAAATAAGCCTCAGTATATAATATGCCGTTTTTCTTGTAGGTATGTCACCGAAAATGATACATCGACATTTCAACTTGAAGATCAAAAGACAGAAGAACCTGTAAGTTTAAATCAGAAGTAAAAGAGTTTATGTAATTAAATACTCATCGGTAGTAAAGCTTAATTACTAGAGAACTTTCAATGTTTGAGATCATGAGTCAACTGATGCTAGACCATCGTGGAAAACCTGGAAGCATTGTATGACTGTTTCGTTCTATTGTGGGACTCCTCAGCGGTGCGAATCCACGATCTCACTTCGCGACATTCGAACCTTGGACCTATCGATCTTGCGCTCAAACGCTTAACCTCTAAACCATAAAGTTGGTCGGCATCCAACGGTGTCAATGTCTAACATCAAGCAATCCGAGAAACTAAGCAACACATCCACCATTGTCTTCAGTGAGTTACTATCACACAACAGACCTGGTTGAACTCCACTGGTTACTAATTCTCACTGGAACTCCAGGATATACATCTTCAAACCAAGTTTTCCATAGTGGTCTAGCTTTAACTGACTCATGATCTCAACCATTGAAGTTACTATAATATCCACAAAAACCCTTCTGATACTAGAAAACTGTTAAAACTTGAACTTCACCGTAATCGTCAGTTTCTGTCAGACTGCATAATATAACTTAGTAACCAGTTTCACTTAAAACAAGATGTTCCGTTGAACTATGGTTATGTACCAGTTAGCTTAGTAATCAACTTGTGACTTAGTTGATGTAATTTAGCTAGCGATATGGTCTACACAAGATGATTTTGGTCATAAACGAATGATTGTTTAGTATGCAAATAGATTGAATGTATTTAAGCATTGAAAGTGGGGTGAAATTCGAATCATAATTTTAGTAAATTTACAAATTACAAAAATATTACTTACTTATACCTTTTACTCCTCGTGGAGGAGCATAGGCCACCCACCAGCACTCTTGATTCAACGATGCCCTAAGCAATCCGTTCCAGCTCTTTTCAGTTGTTATTCATCCTTCTCATATCTGATTCTATTTCCCGACATAATGTGTTTTTCGGCATTCCACATTTCCGCTTCTCTTCAGGATTCCAAGTTAGGGCCTGCCTCGTGATGCAGTTTGGTGATATCTGTATTGTATGTGCTATCCATCTCCAACGTCTTTTTCTGATTTCTTCTTCACCTAGAACCTGGCTTGTTCATTCACACAGTAGGCTGTTGATGATGGTATCCGGACAATGAATGTTGAGTATCTTGTGTAGACAACTATCTATAAATACTTGCACCTTTTTGATGATGATTGTAGTAGTTCTCCAAGTTTCATCTCCATAGAGTAGAACTGTCTTGACGTTCATATTGAAGATTATGACTTTGATATTGGTTGACAGACAGTTGTTTTGAGTTCCATCTATTCATCAACTGTAGGAATGCGTCCTTTGCTTTGCCAATCCTCGCCTTGCATCACATCCTCCTTGTTTATCGACGATACTTCCCAGGAACTTGAAGGATTCCACATGACTCAATGATAATTAAATGTCTGAATGAGTTTATATACAACTCAAATGTGTCATTACATAGATTTCATAAGACCCTATATCGATGATGATTAGTCCATTGATGTCTAGAGCTGTACCCGATTAGAACACCTCATAATATAGATCCTTCAGCTGATGTGAATACCCGCCACTTTCAGTGAAGTACATGATAACTAGAGTCATTTCTTTATAAAATATTGATCTAAAGTGATGGTTCATTTTTATTTTATTTATGTGTTAATAATCTCAATATTTTTCAATGAATAAATTGAATCGTTAAACCTATATATTCCAATAATTTTTAATGTATACAATAGGCTACTTAATTATAAAAAAGTAGTTTAAAATATATTACATAATTTCCGTCGGTTTATAATTTGTGATTTATTTTTATAGAAATAATCAACTAATTTCATCAGTTCCTATTCATATATTGATGCTTCTTTTGACCATTATCACATTTAATTTATATGGATATACATTTCTCAGTAATATTTTAGGCAAAACTACAATTTATAGAAGAACTAATCAGATTTACGATAACAGGTCTCGGATTTCATTCATCCATTTTAGCTGATATCAGTTCATGATGAAAACACTAAATGTGACTCATTCTTAAGAACATTTCATTCTACATTGTGTACTCTTTACCTATTTAAGAGCTATCATGGTAAAAATCAAAAGAGTTTATAATGTGATTAGTAGAGCTTTGTTTAGTACTAGGAGAGTTTATGTCACCAATTGTAAACTTTAGGTATCCCATTGTAAATTAAGATGTAGTGAATAAATGGTTTTGTTCTCCATTGAGAAACTTCAGAAATTTCCACTCAGATTGTCATACAACATTGATTGTAAAAACTTAATGTCTCTTAGTGAACACGAAGCAATTCGGACTCTAATATGTTTGATCTTTATTTCAATTTATTGAAATTTACGAAATTGAATGGACAAAAAACGAATATCCGTCACTTTAACCAGGTTGATGGATATGGAGAGTTCACTTAGGGGAGTTGGAAAATCCTGATTCCAAACCAATGGTACATATGGGTTCCAGGATCTTGAAGGAACAAATGGCATATGAACCAATTATTGGTTACAGGCTACCATGTGACTACATCTCCTGACGTTACTCCATCGCCTTGTTGATTCATCTTTTAGGTTAAAGGCTCCTAGTATGACTATCTAAGTAAACAACTTGCTTCGGTTTGGATACTCGAGCAGTATCCATCATCTTTCTTATCAGTATAGGGTTGTAGAGATTATGAAGTATTTGATTGAGATCATAAACCGATCGATTTTAGACCACCATTGAAAACCTGGAAGTATTAGACAGCCGTTTCGTCTTATTGTAAGACTCCTCAATAGTGCACATCCAGGATCCCGATCTCAGGATTCATACCTAGGGCTTTCAGTTTCGCACGCGAACGATTAACCTCTAAACCATTGAGTCAGTATCTAACGGTGTCTAACCTTTCAACTAATCCACGAAATTGCTTGATCATCTTCCAACATTCTTAGTATCAATCAAGATCATTTCATTCATATCTCTTGATAGTGTTATTACCATGTTTAATTCTTGTTTCTCCTTCTTCTTCTTCTTCTTTTTCAGGAAACAGAAAATAATGATATAGTGACTTTACTAGATAGCTTATTGAATAAACTTAAAGTACCTTCAGAGAATTGGTTAAATTATCATTATATAATGGCAATGCAAAGTCCTGATGGAAGTATTTATGTACCAAAAAATCATACACAAAGTACTAGAAAACATTTGATTACATTATTAGGGTATGTCAAAAGTAGAATTTTATATTGTTTTCTTCTTACTTTCAAGTAATTCATTGACTCTAATGAATTCTTTCAGAAGAACAATGAAAGCTCCACGATCAAACCATCCATTTCAGAGAACAAAACTTTAACAAAACCGGTGGATAGTGGTTAATAGTGGGATAAAGTTTGACGCGCGTTTTGTCCTATTTAAAACTTGTCAGCCACTCCAAGTTGATGTTCGCTCCGGGACTTGAACCCAGTACTGATTACTTCAAACGCTACTGTTTAAAAAGCTTGTAACTTAAGGCTATCTCGAAGCAATCCTCACAGGATGCATATATGTCAATAAGAGATAGACTGATCAATTGCAGTCCTAAATAACAATAAGAAGATATAGGTAAAGCAATACCAAGTGAACCTTTAGGTCACCATTCAGATGAATTTCTTGACAATTGATGCTATAATAGGCAAATGGTGATCAGCATTAGAGTCTTTGATCGTTGAAATGTACATCCTTTTAATCCTTTATTTTGTCTGCTGAATATCTTCTAAACAAAATCAACGAATATCATATTGTTCTTGTCATTATTCACCATACACATAAGGACAATTCACAATGAATACTTCATTAATCGTTCATTTCCATACTAATCATGCTCTGTTCTCATTCTATTCTATTCGATTTTCTTAACCTTCAACTCCAAGCATTTCACATCCAATTGATGATACATACTACTTATATCTGTTGACATCAGTAGTATACATCACACTACCCAATTGAAATCTATGATCAGTTTAAATTTTTATTTCAGCCCTGAGTAGCGATATTGTTGGTTCACAAAATAAATCAAATAATCCATCAAAATCTAATCAGTAGTTAATAACTATTGAGAATTACGTTGGATTCTAAATAGAAATGTCATGAAAACGTTGAATAAATAGGATAAACTTTTTTATAGTTGAATTCATGAGTCAATTGAAGTCAGACCACCATGAAAAACTTGGAAGCACTAGACGGCAGTTTTGTCTTAGTGTGGACTCCTCAGCAGTGGTCTAGAGGTTAAACCTTCACGTGCAAAATTGATAGGTACTGGGTTCGAATCTCGCGGGTCGGGATCCTGGATGAGCGCTACTGATGAGTTCTGTATTAAGACGAAACAGCCGTCCAGTGCTTTCAAGTTTTTCATGGTGGTGTAGCTTCAATTGACTCATGAATTTAACTATTGAAATAATTGCCAAAATCTACACAAAACCCCTTCTGAAAACAGAATAAACAATAATAGCACAGAAACTCCAGATGATTAGACGATATACATTTTGAAGGATACTCCGGTAACATCAACACAAATTGATTGTTGATAATTAGAACAAGATCAATGCATTGATGTTAAAGCTAAACCACCATTGAAAACGTGGAAGCACTAAAAGGTCGTTTTGTTCCACTGTGGGACTTCTCAGTAGTACGTAACTATGATCCCACATACAGGATTCAAACCAATCACTTATTGGTCTCGTGCGAAAACGCTTAATCTCTAGACCTCTTAGCTGTAATCTAACATTGTTAATAACTAACTTCTACCATTTATTATTTACTTATCAGTTCGATGAGACTATAATTCATGGACGAACCAATCAATAATAAGATGACAGGTCTTGAATTTTGGCGCGTTATTCAATTCTTCCATTTGGTTAAATAGAGTTTTGGGATTATAGCTGATGTTAATTCTTGATGAAAACCCCTAAATCTTATTTCTAACCGCAGACCATCAATTGTAAATCATAATTCGAATTCCTCACCCTGGTTTATAACCCTCATTTCATTCTAGTTCTTAAGTAGACACTCTCAGGGTTAGTCTAGCGTCATTGAAAGGTCGTCTATAAAAATGATAGTCTCATCCATTGATTCATTACATAGTTGTCATTAAAATGTCATTTGTCATTCTTCTAATTGTTTTAAATTTTATAGATTTGCTGAAGAAATTGTATCGAATAAAGGTATGTTGAATATTGAATCATGATAGAGTAATTAACAATAAACCATAATCATTGTTCTCAGAATCGATCGAGTAGCAAAGCCAGTATAACGACTCCAGTACAACGATATCATTAAACTATTCAATTGGGTAGTAGTGACAGACGGTGTATACAAAAGGCAGAGATGTAATCAAAGCAAGCTTGTATATAGGGATTAATTATAAGCCTTGATCACAGTCACAAAGATGTTGAAACAGTTTACTTAAATCTTTAGGATCGGGTTTTCAAACTCACTGGCATCGTCGATGTGTCCCCGGACATTCAAAAATATCATCGGACTTTTATTACCCAATTTTTTGTATGACTTAAATGGTAATATAATTATATGAATTAGACAACAAATCCAGAGATTTAGATGATAAGAAGTGCATATTTACTAGGGGATTTCGACAACATTCACAATTGGTGTGACAAACATGTTTAGATTGGTTGCGATTGAATCACTTCATTAATAAATATTACTGAAGAGTCTCAAACGGAAAGAGAACAACAGTCTATCGTTGTTTCAAAGTTCAGGCATATCTATTCAGGAAAATGCTCCAAGTTATTGATATGATAAGAATTTCTATCTTGAGATAGTGGAGAAGGTGGATGATTTGGATGGAGTTTTGTTCTCTGAGTTGAATGGTTTGAAAGTGGAACTTCCATTGTTCTTCTGAATGACATCATCATCCGTACAAATGTCAGGTAGAACTGTAGTGTTCGAATTTCTTCACATGGAGTTCACAGATTGTCCCGTGTTGATTGGTTCTTGTTGACCTCAAACCTATCATTGTTTACTTCTTTGTTTTGATCATATCTCCCATTGGTTTGATTTTTGTTCCTATGTTTGTGCATAGTTTTCCTGATTGGTTGATAAATTCGGCCGATTTCAATGTGCTTGTTTGATCTAAGTGAAAAGCTTTTGAAAATTCTCTGGTGTTTTTGGAGTTACCTCTATCCAATATCTCCACATTTTTCCAGTCGAATATATGTCCGCAATTGCCCACGAGCATTGATATAAGTGAGGACATGTCATGGCATTTGATGGCTAATTGATGTTTATACAGGCGTAGATGAAGAGGACGTCCGCTTTGTCCGATATAGTGTTTTTCTCAGTTGGCATTATTTATTTTGTAGATGATATTTGGTTTGTCTTCTTTGATCATATCATCCTTTGACTTGTATAGGATTGATTGTAGAGATTTTGTTGGTTTATATACAACATCTATTCTGAAGGTTATCAGCAATCTCGAGAAAACTATACACGAACATAGGAACAAAAAAAACAAATCAATGGGAGATATGACCAAAACAAAGAAGTAAACAATGACAGATTTAAGGTCAACAAGAACCAATCAACATCGAGATGTACAGGACAATCTGTGAACCTTATGTGAAAAAATTCGAACACTTCAGTTCTACTTGACATTTGTACGGATGATGATGTCATTCAGAAGAACAATGAAAGTTCCACTTTCAAATCATCCAACTCAGAGAACAAAACTTCATCAATAAGAATTTCTATTTACTTATTACATTTAGTCTTCAATCTTTCATTTACATCTATTGTGTATGCTATAACTTAAGCTGGTTAAAGACTGTCTCCTATAGTTCCGCTTATGATCTTACAACTATTTCAAACTCGAAATGTTTTTAGGTTCTTGAAATTTCTGTCTTCAACTGTCAACTATACCAACTCATATACAACTCACCGGTTCATATGATCATACTAGTAATGTTGTTATTAGCATCCCCCATAGTAGTGTAAGAAAGCATCATCGATAAACAAGGAGCTTCAGATGCAGATGTATAAGAGAGAATTGGCAAAGCAAGGGCCACATTCCTACAATTGACGAACAATTGGAACTCAAAACAACTTTCAACCATTATCAAAGTCAGAATCTTCAATATGCAACGTCAAGGAAGTTCTACTGTACGGAGTTGAAACGTGGAGAACTACAACAACCACCATCAAGAAGGTACAAGTATTTATAAATAGCTGTCTACGAAAGATACTCAATATCCATTGGCCGGATACCATCAGCAACAGCCTTCTGTGGAAGCGAACAAACCAGCTTCCAGCTGAAGAAGAAATTATGAAAAGATGATGGAAATGGATAGGACATACATTATGCAAATCATCAAACTGCATCACGAAACAAGCTCTAACTTGGAATTCTGAAAGGAAACAGAAAAGAGAAAGGCCAAAGAACACATTGCGTTGGAAAATAGAAGCGGATATGAAAAGGATGAATAAGAACTGGGCAGAGATGAAAAGGATTGCCTAGAACAGGATTAGATGGAGAATGCTAGTGACTGGCCTATACTCCTTCACGAGGAAATATCAAAAAAAAACACACACGTTTCATTCTATTTGAAACTTGTCAAATGAATGTATCTCTATTCATAAATTGATGTTTATCTTTTGAGAATCGTAATCTTAATTGTATATTTCACATTATTACTTTGTATTTCATATTCTAGATGGTATTACATATGTCAACAACAAGAACCGGAACCATAACAACAACAACCACAACAACACCAGTGAAGAGAAGTTACCAATCACTACACAATGGATAAATGAGAATATTTTGATTCTTAATAATAATACATCAATCATTGAAGATAATCAATCAAATATTGATTATGGAACAAACATAACTGATAACAGTCAAGAATTCTTAGAAATAGATGATGAAATGGGAACATTCACTGAAATATCTAATCTTTTTACTTTAAATACTACTGAAAGAGAAGAAGTCAAGTTAGTAGATTATGCCTTACATAACTCTTCGAATGATTCAAACGATCTACATGAAATCATGGAATCTATAACTTCGGAGGATGTTGATCGTAGAATACCTGAACAAAATCATCATTCATCTACATGGGTTACCGACGACAGATTGTCAAACATAACTAATGATTTACATATAAACAATAAACAAGACAATATTACAACTGATTCAATGGATCATGTTAATCAACAACGTATTAAGCTAAATGATAATGAAACTATGATAATTTAGATGATCAGGTAAACTTATGAATTTGTGTTTCTATCAATGTATAACGTAATAATACCGCCAATTAGAGAACAGTAGTTTAGTGACCGGATCAATGACATGTAAAACCCGCATGAGTAACATAGAGACCTTAGTGATCCGTCTTTCGGTTTAGCCTTACCTGTTAAGTCCAGAACACTAATCTTAGCCTCTGTGATATCAATCATTATATTTCAAACATACTCAGTTTATATACCAACCAGACAGATCAGATCGTACCATAAAATAGGAAATAATATTTGTACAAGATTAAGCTAAATGTGGCTGTGGATAAGGGAGTTAGTGACTAATAGACAAGGCATAATTCAAGAATGGTAAATTGTATAATAATAGTACATAAGTCAAAATAAAGCTTATCATAAGAGAAACAACTATATAATAAAAGTACACGTATAGTATTAGTTCACAAAATAGATCCCAACAATTACTATTCATTATTCACATTGGGATATAACACCTTGTGAGATTCAAACCTATCAGTCTGTCGCGCGAACGTTTAACCTCTAGACCACTGAGCTGACCAGCATCTAACGGTGTTAATGTTTAACTTCAACTAATCCACGAAATTGAGCGACACATCTCCCATTATCATCAGTGAGTTACTATCCCACAACAGACCCGGTTGAACTCGATTGGTCACGGTTTCTCACTAGAACTCCAGGAAATACCTCTTAAAATCAATCACTAGTGAGCATATGGAAATTAATATCAGAAGGGATTTTTATGCATATTATAGTAATTTCAATAGTTGAGATCATGAGTCAATTGAAGCTAGACCACCACGGGAAACACGAAAGCACTGGATGGCCATTTCGTCCTGTTGTGGGGCTCGTCAGCAATGCGCATCCATGATCCTGTACACAGAACTTAAACCCAGGACTTTCAATCTCGCATGCAAACATTTAGCTTTTAGATCACTAAGCTTGCATCTAATGGCTTAGTAATTAACTACGTTCTCCACAAATCCCCTATTACGATAATAGTGAAATGGTTAAACACAACTGAATCCAGGACATTCTATGTTAATGTTCCATTCTTATTCTGTTTTGTTTTATTCACTTTTTCAGATTTAAAAAAAAAAACAATCAATTAATTTGGTAACATTAATTTATCATACAATAATATACTACTTATATTACTATTATTCAATACTACTATTGGTTATCTCTTTTAAACCTCAATTTATTATTGAAATAAATAATGATTCTTAAATCAATATAAAAATGTTCTATTGAATGTTCTATAGTTGGTCTGTAAGGACTTTCTGTTACCTCCTTGTGTGCAAAGGATAAATTGTCTAATCTAGATTAAAACCTTGACGCGATAGGTTGACCGGCTTAACCATGAAGCTAATATATATGAGTTCAAAGTGAGACTAACTACTTGAGGTAGAGAGATGAAAAGTATCCTATCACCTGATTGGCTGAAAAGCATGCAAGTGAGAGAAGACCAATCAACTGGAACGCTACATGATTTATTCCCAATTGTGATCTGCAATTATGTTCCAAGCTGGAGATTAGCGTAGAAAATAGAGTTAGAAGGATTACATTTAAATTACACCAGCTTTGGAACAGAAAAAGCCACAGCAATGAATCATACATCAAACGAAAGCTTATAATCTGTAGAATAGAATGAAATAACGTCTCCCAACGTAGCTTCCGTAGTTTTTCAAGGCTTCTTGGTTTCTCTGTTCACATCACTAACTAATTAGTTGGATTAGTTTGATCATTCATGGAAGTTATTGAAGTTAAGATTGTGTTGTATAGCTTATTTTGTCCTTGTTTGAAAATGATGTAAACTTAATATTGATGCAAGACATTACAGAGTACTGAAGTCAAAAAGTCTGGTTCATACTTTAAACACTATGTCTTATTATTTATTTGATTATTGAACATTTAGGTGTTTCATGTTGACAATAACAAACATTCTCATAAAACCATCTGTTAGGTCTATCGAAGCGTTCAAGTCATCCAATTAAGATAAGCACAAAACAGAAGTTGACAAAATAACGATTTGTACGTATCTCAATTAGGTGATTTGAACGCTTCGATAGATCGAACAGTCCTCAATCTGTAAGGTGTGCGAGGCGTTTAACGTGTCTTCTTGTATGAAATAAAAAAGGGCTACAATAGTGTAAATGACAATTGATAGCTGTGTCTAAACTTGGTAACAGTTTATCAACAATCGAAACCCAAACCAAGAGCAAACAATCTGGAAACTGTTGCATTTAAACAAATGCACAAAACTGTAGACAACTTCTACAGTGATTAAGGTAAAGTAATTACAATGGTAAATACAATAAACGTTATAAGTATATGTAAACATTTTTAGAATAATACACAACAAACTGGCGTTACAACATAAGTGTAAAAAATTACTGGGAATACAACTACTTACTGAATATTAATAAGTAGTATAAAATAATATACAAAAGTGTCAAAGTGAAGTGAATTAGGATAGAGAATGTATTTTGAGATGGTGGAGAATGTAAAACAGACTTAACACTAACATACTGTATTATCCACAAAGTTGAACGAATTGCGATTTACTACTAATCTATTAAAATTAATTTAAGTAGTTTCATTGAGATAGTTTTGTATGTGTGGAGACTCGATGAGTACCGGATTTATATGACTTTTGAATGAATTTGCAACATGTACAAATGAAACATTACTTTAACACAGAATGACTTATCGAATCCCGTGAGCGGGATTGTAGATGCGCAGTGCAAAGGAGTTCTGTACTAGGATGAAAGAGCTGTCCAATGCTTCCAGGTTTTCCATAGTGGTATAGCTTTAATTGACTCATGAAGTCAACTATAAAATTACCAAAATCGAAGCACATAATATCATAGTCATCAGTTATGTAAGCACACTTGTGTGTTGCATAAAAGATAGGGTTATAATATCATAAGCGTTTAAAAATGATGGATATCGTAAATAAGGTAGAAGTTAGGATTCAGTATCTTCCCAATAGGGTGACGCTGGCGTCATGTTTACAAATGAATAGTACAGTGAATAGATAGTTCAATACTCTCACAATATACATATGAACATCTACTACTAGAAGGAGGAAAATAAAAATCAGGATTGCGGAAAAATAGTAAGTTAGTTATAGTTATATAATATACCCTTGTGGGTATGGGTAATTTTATATTTGTTTCCAGAAGAACCAGACACCATCCAGACTTTCTCGTGAAAACCCAAACAGTACAGTTCAATCCCGTTTAGCAGGGAAGCCAGACACTGCCCAGGACTAAATTTTATAGACTGAGCAGTACAGCTCAATCCCGCTTCACAGGAAAACCATAAACCGTATAGGTTTTAACGCTACAATCTGAATAGTACAGCTCAATCCAGTATCGCAACCACATAGGTACCAAGCATCCTGGTGGACTATTCGCAACATTCATATACATGTTCGCATCACATGTATAGTTATTCTGATCAATGATCGGGTGAATCAATTATGCACAGCACGAACAGGCCAAAGTTGATCTATTTCGCTTACACGACAGTCAGACACATTAATGTTAGCAATGACGACATGACTTACAATGTCCCAATGACAATGGCCGTTGAGAACACTGAAAAGCAACCACCAGTATGAATGAAATCGGTTAAGCAGCAAACCAATTTTGTGCATGAACAGTCATTAAAACTTGCCAAAGCATTGCTGAACCATCCACAATATCAATGGCAAACCTCCAGTGTCATATGAAACCTTCAGCTCTACATAGCCATATAGCTTATTCTGTATACAACACATATGTAGGGTAGTAAGTGAAATAGCCCAGCCTGAAGCGTTAAGGCTTAAATAACGCCCAAAACTTATTGTCTGGTTTTAGAATATTATAACTGAATCACCATGATCATTTTTATCGCATTTGCGGAATATTCATTTTTCCGACTTTTCAGACCCTGCCTGAGTTAGCGGGTAGTATCTCTTTATTGATGTTAACTGAACTTATTAAGTTTTAATAATGATCAGACATTTGAAATTCCTATAATTTCATTAGTGGAATGAAATTAAACATTCTGATCTAAGCATTGTTATAAAGCCATTATTAGAAATGAGGAAATCCACCTGTAACTCTTCAAGGTTTACTGCTGGTCTCAAGCCCGGGTAAAAGAGGAGGGCTACGCATAGGATCAGCAATCTCATCTCGTAGAAAGCAACATTGGTAAAAAAGCGTTAACCAGAATAAAAAAAAATTCGAACCATTTAAACTCTGATCTTCGAATTGAACGATATTCATACAAAAGTATTATGACGCCTCAGGATGAAAGCCAAGATTCTTCGGAAGTAAAGAGGTCGATGCCCCTTCTAACAACCAAAGCATCAATTAATATTGACACATGAAATTTCCAAGTGATGTGGAGCACCGCGAGAACCAATCAAATAGCTACGGCAGTCAATAGATTCATCGGTTCTCGAAATCAGTGAAATACATTGGACAGAAAAGGATAGCAAAGATGGATAGTGGCTAGCAGTGGAATCCAGGCCGCGTGTTTCGTCCCGTTCTGGGCTCGTCAGATGTATATACTTGCATCTTAGAGTTGATGTTCACTCCGAGATTCAAATCCAATACCATACTATCAACTCCAATCAACAACATTTACACATTGAACATAACAGCTAATTAGACATCAGTATTCCCCATCACTAACGTTGAACTGTCTATATTAGTTTGAGTGTTTTCAGATTCCAGTTAAAGTGGCAGTTGAATTGTTGTATAAGCTCAGCTTTGTAATTAATTAAGAAATGTCATTAATACAGTCACAATCAATCCATTGAAAGAATGATGTGTTTATCTATCTGATTCACATAAAACGTTTACATTTACATTTGTTGTTATATGTCATCAGTATTACAAACAATGATTCTGTGTCAGTGTCAAACAATGTTCGGGTTATAAGTTCAAAACTGGTACTGAAGTTATTGATTGCAAATGTTAAACAATGAATCATCATATGTATCAACAGGATTGTTCATATTATCAGTTGACTATAGGGATCAACATCAAACAACCATATGAAGGGATAATCGATTTCCTCCTTTTAAAACTAAGGAACGGATTATGCGATAAGCTTCTAGAAGATGAACTAGGTCAATTTATATCAGGAGTGTTCCACGGTTTGTATATCATTGATATACATAACGGCTTGACAGGAATATCTTGATTTTTATTATCAGATTTTAGAAATTTCACTGGTTGAAATCATGAATCCATTGAAGCTAGACCACCATGGAAAACCTGGAAGCACTGGACGGCTATTTCATCTTAGTATGGGACTCCTCAGCAGTGCGCATCCACGATCCCACGATCTCGAACCCAGAACCTATTAGTCTCGCGCCAGGCGCTTAACCAACTAGACCACTGAGCTGGGGGCATTCAAAGGTGCATAGAGGACAACTCCCAGACTTGTTCGAAGTAAAGACCGGTATCAGGCAAGGTTGCTTACTATCACCCTTTTCTCTTTCTCTTGGTGATCAACTAGATTATGAAAACACCAACATCTGGGAGGAAGTACGGGATACTGTGTACGGTTATTATGCAGCTAGACGATCTAGACTTCGTAAATGATCTGGTTCTTCTATAGCACACGCAACAACAAATGCAAGAGAAGACGACCAGTGTGGCAGCAGCAACAGCAACAGCCTCAGCATCAGTAGTTCTCAACATATACAAAAGGAAAAGCAAGATTCTCCGACACAACACAACACGCACCAATCGAATCACACTTGACGGAGAAGCTTTGGAGGATGTGAAAGCCTTTACATATCTGGGCATCATCATTTATGAGCATAGTAGATCTGATACAGATACCATAATGTATTATCCACACAGGTAAACAAATAAGTTCTACAGACTAATGATTACCACTAATCTATTTCATATGTGTGCAGATTTGATGAGTAGAAGATTTATATGGCTTCTAGACGAATTAACAACACAGAATGACTCATGGAATCCCGAGTCACAATACCAGCCCTCACATGGAATTCTTAAGGTTGAAGGAGAAGAGAAAGACCAAAGAACACATTACTCCGAGAAATGGAGATTGACATGAGAAGAATGTACAATAACTGTATAGAAGTAGAAAGGAAGGCCAAGGACAGCGTGTGTTGAAAAATGCTGATAGCTGACCAATGTCACATTGTGAGCAACAGACGTGAGTAAGTAAGTAAGTAAGTAAGTAAGCAAATAAGTAA